TCTTTGCCTTTTCACTTATAGTTTATTTTTTATGTTTTATTTTTCCTTTCTTTTTCTTTGATTATTTATGTCAATACACAGCACCAGGTGCCCATGGGCAATTTAATGTTATCATTTGCAGAGACAATTTAGCCTCTGGTAAAATCTTTTGCACTTGCTTAGAAATTTAAGCCTTGTGGAGCGAGGCAAAGGTTATTTTATAAAACTTGTTAAACTTTCAAATATGAATTTTAAAACAGAAGTAATACATAATTAAATAAAATATAAAAGTAAAGCCTAAATACAATTTAACTGTCTGTCTAACTATAACATGTTTAGGTAAAAAACAACCATGAGTGCTATCGTGGATAAAGTAGCCAACAATATTACCAGCAGTTACATCCACCTGATGATGAAAACTGCATGCCAATTTCAAAATAACCACTGTTGGATTATTGTGTAAAATGAGCTCTTTCTAATAATTATAAATACATGTTTCAAGTAAGTACATGTGGCTTGTAAATTCGAAGGCTAAGTATAGAAGTTAAGTGTGACACCCATAAAGGGATGGCAAAATTTATTACTTGTTTCTAGTAGATTCAGCCAGTACTTGTTGTCTAGACATACATTTACAGGACTGGGTTTATCTGATTCAAGAGAGAGAGAATGAGAAAGTTGAGATTTTTCGTAGCTCATTGGTCAGGTGACAACAAAACTGAAGTTTTAGTATTTTTTTAAAGGTTTCTTTTGAAACAAAAGAATTAAAACTTAAAACTGTAACATACATTTTAATATTAATTTCATTGACATACAATGATAGTAAAGTTGTTTAATGAAATTTTGAATGTAACTCAGTGACTTGTGTATAAATTGTTTTAAAGGGGTACTCATTGTGTAAGGGTTAAAAGTAAGTGGCTGAAAGCACCTAATTATGTATAGGCATTTCTGAATAGATTAGAAAAAAACATTGTTATTGTACCTAGGCAATTAAATGTTTTTTAGTTTTCATGACATACATTTCATTCACTATACAGAGATTACAACTATACCTACATTGGTGGAATAATTTTAACCTCAGATTACACCATTATAGTCATACCCATTAAATTCCTATTTTATTTTACATTTTTAAGGTTAGGCATAACATGATCCAATAAATATATGAAGGTGAAATGAAACAACAACAACTGCCAACACTGTAGTCATTTATGCGTTTGTACTTCTGCAGCTGTAATCAAACCAGCCTCATAACATTGGATAAAATATTGGCCAATCAGAAATGATATAAATAGTTAATACATTCAGAAATTGAAACAGCCATATTAGCTGCACTGGAAAGATATTGAAAAAATCCATCTGACCCAGAATATGTATATGAAAAATCATGAGGGTTGGGAGTTTCGCAAAAACTGGAGGGAAATAAACAAAAAAAACATCACAAGTAAACTGACTACATAGACAATACCCTGAAAGTGAAATGAAAACTTCAAAACAATCACAATATATTAAGAAATTGCATCTTGATACAAAACTAATATTTGGACACAAACCTAGCACCAAAATACCACAAAAATCATGAAAACATTCTAAAGTACAAAAGAACTAAACAATTCACAATTCAAATATTCTAATAAAGTATTATAAAAGAATGTGATCTGTTAAATGGTGTATAAAAATTACTCCCCAGAATTTATTAAACATTTAAGCTGAAACTCATCATTGACAGTGCCACAGAAATTGGTTTAGTACATTGTAAAACTAATTTAATGTAAAATATGACTATACAAGTAGTTTATTATTTTAAGATCATGGCTTGTATCTGCCAAATTAGCTTTCAATCAGTAGATATACAAATTTACAGAGGAGGATGTGTAAGATTCCAAAACATGTTGTGTTATTGGTTATGCTTGTATTATGTGTTACATGACCATCATGGAATACTGCTCTTTATCTGTTTATTTAACGTCTTTTAAATGTAATACCAAGTAAAAACAACAGCTTCCAATAAGTATGCTTGTGAAATAGACAAGACAAGGTGAAAGGAATCTACTCAGTGTCAAAAATGTTGGATGTTTTCACTGTAGATTAGTCTCCAAATAAACACTTTAGACTATTAATAAACATAACAAACTAACTTATTATTATTTTCAGTTCAGGACATTATCTTTGACCCTCAAAGCAGGTTTATTGTTTAAAACTACCGCATGTTAAGTGGTATTCTGCCTAGCAGATGCACATAGTTGGTCATTTCAGATTATAATATGACATAGAGCAAATCAGGTGGCTAAAACATTTATTACTTGGAAGACTTATATTTTATATTGATCAGTTGGTGTACTATGATATTGTTACGTCTCCGTTTGTTAATTAATTTTTCCGTAACTTCGTTCCGACGAAACTTTAACGACACAAGTCTTTACTTAATAAAACTGGTTTATTCTTTCCGAATACAACTTTACCGATACACTCAACTTCAACAATCGCGCTAAACAAACGCTGTAACATCTCTTGTGCTCTCTGACTGCAGTTCAATTACTCAATATCTACACACACATTACATTCCCCTCTTTTATATACCCGCCTACC